TCTGCAATCAAAGAAGCCGGTAACATTAAGGTTGATGCCTAATAACTTCTCAATCTCACTTCCTTTTTTCTTTTCTTCCCCCTTTGATGGTAATGAATTTGATCAGAGCTTCTTCCCTTCGGAGTTCGGGTTTGATCCAGATGGTGCTTATGAAATTTCAGTTGAGCCAGCTAAATCAGTAGTTTTTGGAGTCAAAAATCAAGTCCGCCGTGCTATTGAGGCTGAAGGAATCCCTTATACCTATGTCTGCTGCAATTACTTTGCTGGATGGTTTATCCCTTCTTTGCTTCAGCCAGGGGCCACCACTCCTCCAAGAGACAAGGTCATTATCCTAGGAGATGGCAATGTCAAAGGTAACAAAAAAAAAAAAAACTAGCCAATGGATATGATAGAATGACTAAATATAAAATACTCCGAACTTTTTTTTTTTTTGCCCTCTTTGTGAAGGTGTTTACAACAAGGAAGTAGACATTGCAACTTACACAATCAGGGCTGTGGATGACCCAAGAACACTGAACAAGACCCTACATGTTAGGCCTCCTAAAAACAGAGTCTCATTCAATGAGGTTGTTGCCATTTGGGAGAAACTGATCGGGAAAACCCTTGAAAAAACTTACATTCCGGAAGAACAAATCCTCAAAGACATACAAGGTGAGTAAATAATCAACACCCTACTCCAATCTCATTCAATGCTAGCTGCTATGACCAAAACTGTCCTTTTTAGCCTTATGATCCAAACCAAGCGTGGTATTTATGGTTTTGAACAATGATTTGCAGAATTACCATTTCTGGACAGTGTTTTATTATCACTGAACCACTTACACTTCGTGAAGGGTGATCATTTCAACTTTGAGATCAAGCCATCTTTTGGGGTGGAGGCCTCTGAGCTATATCCAGGTGTGAAATACACCACAGTGGAAGAATACCTTACCCAGTTTGTTTGAAAAATTCCCCACCAAAAGGCTTTCCTTGTTAATAAAAATGATAAAGTAGGAAGCTTCAATGAATGCCTCCTATGAGAACAATGGTGATGATTACTTTAATTTCCTTTAAGTTCGATGTTTATGGCATTAAGAACATGTTGTCTCTTAGATTGTCATGTAAAATTTTAATATTTGGAACAATGAAAAAGAGCAAAACCAAGTTTTATGCAGAGGATATTGTTCAATGAACAAAATTTTAATAGACTTTTTCCTGCAAAATGTATGGTTTATTCACCACCAAACACCGTTCTGGCAATGCAACTCTTGATCAACATCAATTATTGCAGCCAATTAACCATGCCCTAAGGCTATAAATCTGTGCCTAATAACAACTTCATATACCCAACACAGTTCTGGCAATTTGTATTTTTATTTTTGTTGATTTCTTCTTGGAATGGAAGATGGTGGGTATTCCACAACATTTGAGTGCTGAAAATGCATGCTTTAAGGAAGATAATTGTGTAAAAATATTAGAACCCATATCTAACGATGTTTAAGCTTTCCCTTCAACCCATGAACCCAATATATATTACAAAATTTTGCCATACATTACTTGAAATTTGTACAATATAGAGCTTGCAAAATCCTAGTACAGACTCATTAACTCAGTATCCCCCTGAAACTATAATACACACTTAATTTGACAGACAGCTGGAAAAAGACCAAGACACACCTAAGCTTCCAACTAGGAAGACAGAGAGATCCAAGATCTGCGTTTTGTAGACCATGACATACTGATGAGCTTACACACAAAAACCAGACAACAAAGGAGAAGAACAGAAAAGCAACTAGAAAACTCAAGTGCTGATTCCTGTGTCGCTGTTCAGTTTGGAATTGGCAACGTTAGCAATGTGATACTGTGCTGTGTAAGAGTTGGAACTGCGTTCAAGCACAGGAATTTCATTCAGAAACGCCCAATTGCTTCTAGTCCACCTGAAATCACCACAAAGACAAAGGCTTTTAGCCAAAATTTTAAACTTTTAGGTGAAGTTGAAAACCTTATAATATAATACCGATGGCGGTGGCTTTACCATCCATTTTTCTTTATGATATCCTCCAAGTTTGTTTCTGCATCCTTGTCCAACAAACCCACTTTAGTACCAGACCGAGGCATGGAGCTTGATCTCACATACTTCTTTCCAGATTTCTCAAACAGACTTTCCTGTTCATCACAGACCATCAGTTTCATGTCTTCCCTTATGTCTGCAAAATGAAATTTAAGTTGGAAAATTCAAACCTGGGTGCTGTCTGAGAGACGGGAAATGGCCCTGAGATGCTCTTCCTCTGTTTTCTTTTTTGATTTCCAGTAAGCCTCAATTTCTTCCTTGGTCAGTGAACTGTTTCTCCTGCGTAAAACTGGAAGATTTTTGCATCATCAGAAACCCAAAAGAAAGAAACCCGGCAGATCATAAACTATATACAATTACAAATATCATGCAATGAAAATATGAAATAGAGTTAACCTGATTTAGGATCTGGGACAGGGGAGTCCCATCCTGCCATAAGAGAACCCATAATTTCTTCTGCAAAATCTTTCACTTGCCTGATCCACTACAGAAATGTGTAAATATATACATCATTTTTGGGTCGTGTGGGAAGATAAATATCCCCTAGACAGCTCAAGTACCGATCATTGTGGGGGCCATAAGCCCATCGCCTTATCACTCTTATCTTGGAGACCTTTTGTTTTTTCTTTTTTTCTTTTTTAATTTTTGATTTCCATATGAACAGGGAGACAAGAGGACCGAGCAATGGGGTGTAGTCCAAAGTTTAGAGTTATGAGCTGTTGATAAATAAAATATTATTTTATAAATTAAATTTAAATTTAATATTTAAAAATTGATTTTTTAATACAATATGTTGATTCACGGCATGCTTTTAAAATTACATATTTCTTTGGTAATAACATTTAAGATTATTTATTTAACAAGAATAAATTAATTTTAAGGTATATAAAAATTAATTTTAAAAATATTTATGATAAATATTTTTTTTTATAAAAAAAGAAAAACCTAAAACCAAAAACCGATGCGGAGTGGGTCCTCTGCATCTCATCTAATTGTTTTTGGTTTTTTTTGATCTGACGTATCACCTGATAATGATAAAAGCTATTAACTTTTTGCAAATGAATAATCCAGAAGCCCACAGAGTCCCATGGGAATTTGCCCAAAACCAATGGTTTCACCAGAATGGTGGGCTGAATTGCTGATGTGTATCTGTTATCCTTATTTTAGTGTAGTTACGCGATGTGTTTATCTCCTATTTGTATCTACTCCGTATAAACAGGCCCATGAAGGTTTTTTTTTTGGCAGATAACTCACTTCTGAAATCATTTTCTTTTCCTTATAGGATGTAGGATATAAAGAATCTATCAATTTAGTGGACAGCTATTAATTATTGATTTTAATTGAATGAATTATATATTTTAGATTATAAATAATAGTAATTGCTAATAATTAATTATTAATTATATTAAAATAATTAATTTAAATACCCCTCACAAGTTACGAATAAGAGGATTTAAAGTAATTTTTAATAATTTAAATAAATGAATCACTTTACATAAACAATTGATCTAACAAATGTCTAACTTTTAATTGCTAAAATGAAAAGAAAAAGCTTCTCTTTTTTTTTTTTTTTTAACTTTCTCCAAAGGATAGGAGGAGTTGATTTATAGAATTATAGGTCATGTCGGTAAAATTTGTGCTTCTTCTTTCTTATTTTTTTGGCCTTCAAATTAGTGCTTCTTCTTTTTCTCCACTTTTTTAGGGAAGACTGTTGAAAGTTGAAACCCCCTTAAAACGGGTCGGAGCAGACCGGATCCAACTGTTTCCACCAATAATGTCCTTTGTCATGAAGATCTGGGCTTCTTGACCCGTGAGTTCTTTGGACCATGTAACCCTTTTCTGGGTCTTGGCTCCAGGCCCAAAACACTTGTATTCAGCAAAGTACACGGTCCTGCAGAATCAAAAAATCAAAGTTTTTTTTTTTTTTTTTTAATTCAATTACCAACAAAATTAGTTGGCAAAAAAGAAAGAATCAAATCTTGGAAATAATAATCAAAGAAAATTTCTTTTTCTTTTTCTTTTTTTTTTCATTTTTATATTTTTTCTTACCTTTCTTTTGATGGATCTCCCCAGTTATCCCATCCCTGGGGCAGTATAACATTAGACATGTAGGTTTGGATAAATACAACCCTAGAATAAGCACCCCACGGCCTTCCTAGCACCGCACTCTTCACGCCGGTGATCTTACAACCCAAGAATATAAACCCTGTGTTCTCTGACGGAGATTGCCTCCGCTGCGCCGTAATCGCTCCGTTACCATCAGACAATGATTGCAAATGACACTTCTGCAAATCATATATCCCAAGAACATTCAATTATAATTAAATATGTTCGTTATTAATTAAAATGCAAGGATGAATTTGTTTACCTCAAAAAGAGAATTAGCGTTGCCAAATATGAAATCGACGGCTCCTTCGATGTAACAATTGCTGTAATAATGTCTTCCAATGTCATCAAGCAAGGTATCCTGGTAAGACAAAATTCTGCATCCGAAGAATGCAGCCTTATCACCTGATACCCTCAATGCAACAGCTCTTGCACCAGCCCCATATGTATTCTGCCATGAAATTGTGTTATTTAGCTAGCTTAATAAATATGTCCACTGTCCATGAACATTTTCATGTGATCATTAAAATATATTCTTGAGTAACACATGTATATACATTACCTGAATTGTTAGGTATCGGCCAGTGAAATCCGAAGCCAGAACGGAGAGTGTAGGAGATTGAAATATATCCCCACTATCGTTCCAAGATATTAGTGTCTCACTTGAATCACTTGCCTTTGTCCCACTTATTGTTATAAAAGGTTTATCAGCCGGAACAACAATCTTCTCATCATAAACACCAGGTTTAACCAGTATAAATACAGCTTCAGTGTTTTTAGATGGCACAGCGTCAATGGCATCTTGTATCTTCCTGTAATCTCCCTTCCCAGATTGGTCCACTATCATGAGCCGCGCGGTCGCAGAGGTTTGATCATCAGCCTCAGCATAATAAACCATAACGATCAAAAGGAAAATCACAACACAGGAAACACAAGCAGAAGCCATAATATCTTATGGTGGTTAATTTTGAATCACCAAACATAAAACTCTAGTACATATATAAAAATTATGGAACGCAATTTCTTTTATACTACTGAAGAGAGCTGTTTTCTTGACATTGAAAGCATGAGATGGATAGATAAGTGATAAAAATTCAAGCAACTTTACTAGAGTTAGTCTTGAAACAGAAGTAGCCGGCCGACAAACAGAGATATGGATGATGATAAGTATGTGTATAATTGATGTTTTTAGTGTCTATATACAGCAAGTTTTTTTTTTTTTTTATTGTTTGTTTTGGAAGGAAGACATGGTTCAGAGGCGCTAATTAATTCTTCTGCTTGAGACCAATGCAAGAGATTAATTTTTAAACTTATTAACTAAGTTCTAAGTAGGACTAATTCACCTGATCTAATTAATTTAGAGGCAGCTTAAACAGTACGTACCATTTAACGCGTCATTTTGTGTGTTGAATTGAATTTCTCTGTTGCTTCCTCACTACTTTACTGGATTTTAACGCCATTGAGCTTCGTTCAAACTGTCCGCCGTCTTCTGTTTACTTTTGAAAGTGCATGATAGATTCCTGTAGCTGTATTCATATTGTTGGGCTTTTGCTTGGTAGTGCCTTTTTGTTTTCGTTCTCTGTTCGGGTCGTTGGGTGAGGCCCTGGTTTCATGATTGTATATAGGTTAAGGCCCAATCTCTCTCTCTCTCTCTCTCTCTCTCTCTCTCTCTTCATTTTCAACTTAAGACACATGTTAAAGTTGTTATTAATGAATTTTTTTACATTGATTGGTGTTACAAAAATAAAAATTAATTTTTTCTGACCTTTTCTATCTTGTGCTTTTAGGAAATAGATTAAGGATGTAATTATTATATTTTTTTATATTAATTGGTATTAAAAAAATAAATGTTTCCTTTTAAATAATCAATTACTCAATTAAAATGATTCACATAATATTTATGATCAAATTAATATTAATTTCTGTATTTTTAATATTAATCAATGTTAAAAAATGCAACTAAGATATGGCACCTATTAGAAAAATGTATTTTTAATTAAGGATTTTTCTAATGTGTAGTTAAGAGTGTATTTATTATATTTTTTTATTATTAATTATTATAGAAAAAAATTAAAGTTAATTTTTATTTTATTAATTACTAAATTAAGGTCTTCCTCTTGACATCAATGTTGAAATTAATGTTAATTTTTATGTTCTCTATGTAAATTATTCACTTTGTTCAATTTTAGTAACTTTAACATGATCAACGATTTATTAATTCAAGTAAAATTTTAAGTTTGATTATTGTAAATACAAAGACAAGTATTTAAAGAACTTCTTATTTATGAGATTCAATACAACTCGACTCTAAATTAGTTAAAACTTAATTTGACTTTTGGATGCTAAAGTTTTAGTAAAAAAAAAACCTTAACAAGTGATATTAGAAAAAAAAAAATGTATAGGATGGAACAAGCTAAAGATATAATTAGGGAATGGTTATGGCAATATAAAAAAATTATTGGGGCCACACAAACATTTCAATTATATTTCTTAAAATATTGTTGGCTCTATTTGGTTTAATTGATAGAAATAATTAATGATTATAACTAATAATTGATTAAAAAAAATAAAAGAGCTTATTTAACTTATATAATTAAGACACAAGTTAATAATACAATAAAAACATTTTTTTATAATTAATTTACATAAAAATGACAAAATTTAGGTTTTATTTTAATGTCATTAACACGCTAATAGTTTTAATTAGCCATGTAATTAACTTCAAGTCAACTTCTATTATTCTTATGTACATTAATATAGCAAGATATATTTATTATACTTTTAACTTATATATAATAAAAAAAATTTAAATAAAATAATTAATATATATTATTTAATATATTAAAATTAAT